AAAAAAAAAAAAAAAAAGACCAGAATTACTGGTCAGATGAAGGCTTGTAGAACCCCCAAGACTATGGCCCCAGACTATACTTCGGCCCTGGAACTGGACTCACTTCTTTCTATAGCCAAACAGTAGAAAGACCTACAGATAGGACACCTGCCCTAGAGAGATGCACCCACCTACCCTAGAGAGATACACCCCCTGGAACAATCAACCATGAGACACAGAAGGGCATCATTTGTATAGCGGGAAAGCTAGACAGACAGGAATGCATAAGAAGACACAGGGAGGGACTGGTCACAGGGAGGAGACAGGAGGAGAGCTTTTCATGGTTGGGGATTGTAATCGAGGACTGTGAGGCCTGATGCGCATGAACTGTTGTGTGTAAAATGAAACTACTTGCTCCCATTTCACAATAAAAAAAAAGAAAAGAGAAGAAAATACTCACACAAATCCATTCAATGAATGTTTTTATCCTCTTCAACAAGCAATAACAGCCAATTTGTGAAAGAAGATGGTGGGAATTTTCCATGCTACAAATCAAATGTGTATTTTTCGCTTGATGAGTAATCCTCATATATTTTACTAAAAGGATTAATAGTACTAACCTGTGTTTAGCATAAAAAGTATGTATTTTATTGTGATTTGGGTGAAAGTTTTCATTCAACAATTCATGTACATTTTGTTTCATGACATTGATTGTAATCCCCACAATGCAACAGCACTCTTCCCATTTCTTCCCTATGGTTACCATTTTCATTTGCCCTTTTTTCTTGTCCCTTCTTGCCTTCTGAGATTTATCCCTAGGTAAATGCTGTCTTTCTGATCTCGTATAGTTGATTGTTCTAAGGAGTTCATATTTCCCTGGTGGTATTATTCACCTTATAGGCTTATCATTTGACTGAAAGTTGAGACATAGGGGTGAGTTTGGTGCCAGGTGTCTAAGGGCCATAGTCTTGGAAGTTCCACCAGTCTCTATCAGACTGTTGTTGTTGTTGTTATGTGTCATTGAGTCGGCCCCGACTCATAGCGACCCCTCGTTGGGTTTCCGAGGCAGTATCACTACAGAAGTAGGATTGCCCACCTTCCTTCTGAGGAGTGGCTGGTGGGTTTGAACCTCCAGCCTTCTGGTTAGCAGTCAAGTGCCTTAGGCACTATGCTACCAGAGCTCCTTAGACTAGTCAACCTTTTTTTTATATAATTTTTTGGGGGGTTTTAATGTACATTTTTTTTTCCCCACAGGACCTCCTATTGTGATCTCTTTCAGAGTGGTCAGCAGTGGTAACCAGGAACCATCTAGTTCTTCTGGTCTCAGGTCATAGAGGCTGGGGTTCACATAGTCGATTAGTCCTTTGGACTAATTGTTTCATGTGTCTTTGACACAATTATTCCTCTTAGCACCACATGCAGTTTCTTAAAATATCAAATAATACAGAATCAAAAACCTGCTTAGAACATGGATAAAATTTAAACTGTTATTTCTTACTTATAGTCTAAAGCAAAGAACTATTGCTGTAAGAATAACTTCTTATTAAAGCTTCTGAAGCTGTTTGACAACAGCAAATACTTTCATCAGGGCACCCAGATAGTCACAGGATAAAAAAATATCTAAAATAAACAAAAATATGGATCTAAAAATTTACAAATATACAGATTCACAGAAAATTGAAAGAGTTTTAAATGATATATACTAGGCTTAAAAACTTAATGGCTTACAAACATGGGAGGGTGACAGTCATGTGTAGAGTGAGACTACCAGGCAAACAGTTCTAATCCTTTCAGTTGAGGTTAAAGCATATACAATAGGTATTCCTGATTCATCAGGAGGAAAACCTCTATTTTCAGGGAATGACATTAATGAGAATCCTAGGAAACAAGGCAAAATCTCTATATAAGTATCTTGAATAGTTTCAGTAAAAGAATTTGCATTTAAAATGCAGATTTTAATTATGTGGAGACCAAGTTTTCACTTAATAACTAGCTCTCTTTAGAGGTAGAATATATCATGGGAAAAAATGAATAACAGCTGCAACTTTTCAATTGTAGCTTTTGTTTATCTCTTTTAGCTGAAAATCAGCATTTTAAAGAAACTACACTCTTCCTAAATCACATGTTTAAATATCAAACATAATGGTACCATTACCATTTTTATTAACCAGATCTCTTGTAAAGTTATTTATTTTTGCTGAAGAATAGATCAAGACTGAAAACAGGTGAGAAGTGTTACTGTTAAATCCAAAGGAAGAATATAGTAACATTTTTGTCTAATTCTACAGTAGTAATTAAACTCTGATATAGATAAAAGTCTTGATTGTCAGCATAATATTTTCAGAATTACAAATATGTATTTCTATTAAAAGAAGAGATAAACTTTAATGTCTAGACATATTTTTAATAACTGGATTAAAACTTACTGTAAAATATTTCCAATTATCAAATATTTTCACTTTTAAAGTCTAAAAGACATGCTTCAATTATTTCTAAGTCTCATTCTTTATAAATATTTTTTCATCTTTACTTTCTTTATATACTATGTGTGATTCATAGGACTCAGGAGCAAATGGATTTAAAAAGACAGAATCAGGCAAGGCAATGAGAAACATTTGGGAGATTTCATGTACCAGAGACTGACACTTTCAAGTGGAATTTTAGTTTATTAAATCTTTATTTCATAAACATATTGGGAAAATATTAGAAACAAGGCTACAGAAAGGCTGGGAGCAAATGATAAGTGCGATAGTTGGAGCAGTGTGTCAACTTGGCTGGATCACATGTGTGGTTTAAGCTGTTGTGATGTGGTTAATCCCAGGATGGGATCAGATGATTCTGTTTTGAGCAGCCAATCTGTTGAAAGGGAGTTTCCCTGCTTCCAGTATATCTATGGACATCCTGGGAAAAGAGACATTCTTCTGTGGATTGGGATTCTGTTGTGCTGCCTACAACTGTCAGTGAGTGAACAGTCCACCACTGGGCCTGGAGATCTTCGATTCATCATTCGTTGGAGTCAACAGCTGGTGTACTGCCTGCCAGCCTTGAGCTCCTTAGTCCCTGTGGCTGCAAGAGTTGGGAAAAGCCTCCAGCTAGACGTTTGATCCAGGAACTTTGGACTTGCCAGCTCCTATAAGTGTGTGAGTAATTTTCCTAAGATAAATTCCTCTCTATATACATATATGTAAGCTTTACTGGTTTTGTTTCTCTAGAGAACCCAGTCTAACACAATAAGAAAACCAAGAGACCCAAAAATCCACATAATTTTGCACATTACCTGTAGAGAAAGATGGTATATGACTAGTTTGTTTCCCAAAGGGAAATCATGGCTTACAGCTACACTCTTCACTATAGTAGCCACTTGCCACATGTGGCTAATTAAATCTAAATTAGTTAAAATGAAAATTCTAGTTTCTCAGTCACACTAGCCACTTTTAAGGGTTCCACAAGTATGTATGGCCAGTAGATGCTGTATTGGAGAGTGCAAGATCAAGATAGAAATGATAACCATAGATCAAATTTGCTCAGAGAGTGCCTAAGACATTTGACTACTAACCAGGAGGCTGGCGGTTCAAACCCACCAGCCACTCCTCGGAAGGAAGGTTGGGCAATCTATTTCCGTAGTGATATTGTCTCAGAAACCTGAGGGGTCGCTGTGAGTCAGATCAGACTCGAAAGAAGTGAGTTGGATTGTTAAAGGCCAGAATGCAAGAAAGGATAGGAAAGGATGAATGGAAATGGTAACCATAGAGAGGAAGCTGGAAGAGTACTGCTCCACAGTAAGGATTACAATCAATGTCACAAAACCATATGTGTACGAATTGTTGATTGGAAAACCATTCTCTACAAACTTATCCAAATCACAAGAAGTTAAAAAAAAAAAAAGTAAAATGTATGTAGAGATGATTATGTCAGACATTTGCTAAGTGCTTACACATATCATCCTATTTAATCTTCATATAAACTATATGAGGTAGGTACTATTATAATCCAATTTATAGGCAGAAAGTAAGGTTTATAGAGCATATGTATACTTACATTCCAAGCACACTTTATCTCATTCAAAGGTAGAGCTCATAAGGAGTTCTACTCTGAGATGGAGATAGAGGAAATGTAACCTGGATAGTACTACTAGACCCTTGCACCAACAAGTAGTGTACCCAGCTGAAATGGATGGTGTTCTAAATTAGCCTTCATTATCCTTTTGGCTGAAATATTCTTGATGTTGAGCATGATTATTTTCTATTAACAATGGAAAAGTATTTTTCTTATTCCATTCTTGTCCCTACCTTGTACTTATAAATCTCTAGCCATTTCTTTTCATAGGTTTTACTGCCCCAGCCAATAAAAACTAAGGCCGACCTACACACAATTCAACACATCTTAAGGTTCAATTTTTAGAACAGAACAGTCAACATTAAAATTAATTTGGTGTTTCAAAATTCCTTCATATATAGGTACTGAGCTCTTAAAGATCCTGTTAATAATCAGTGACTTCATGTTATAGAAAGGAACTCCAGTTACGCAGAGAAATAATTTACTAAAAGCTGAGCTATAATAAAGCATATTACCTCTTACATTTTACAACTGTCACTGGCCCAGGTGAGCCAAATGAACTAAGTTATATTATCTCAGCTTTTACGTGGTCAATTTCCCATTAAATTGCTTCGAGAATTACACGTCATTTTTCATCATACATTACTAACTTTTTTGTTTGATTTTTAAGTTCTTCTGAATTGAATGATTGATGGCCTGATGACACTGGCAGAAGATCCACTTAACTGTTATGACATCCCCATGCTCCACAGGCCCTGGAGAATCAAGCATTACTTCTGGCCCTGACTGTCCCACTGTAGCCTCCCATGCCTTACCTTCGGGGTGACCCATCATCATGGGGCTGGATGATGACCACTTTCACAGTCACAGAGGTCCGGAGCAGGTCAATCATCTGCTCATGGGTCAGAGTGGCCACAGCCACTTTGCAGATCTCTACGAGGCGGCTCCCTTGGCGAAGGCCAGCTTTCCAGGCAAAGCCAAAAGGCTCCACATCTGCAACTATTCCTTCAAAGTTCACATGGAAGCCTAACTGACCAAGCCCATTCCTCCTCAAGGTCATTTCCACAGTCTCGCAGCCTCTCGTCACTATCTGAAAGTAAAGAACACTGTTAAAGAACCCCTTCCCACTCAGGCTGTCATGAACACTCCATGATAGAGGTGCACACATGGGCCTCTGCCTCTATTGCTCTTCTCCTTAGCCCTCATGGCACTTGTTAGCACAGTTTAAGGGTGCCCCCCCCCATCTCTTCAAACTGTAGAAGTGAAAGAAGGGACATATTTAAATCCAGAGCCTACCATGATTAGTTGTGGCATCAATTGCAAAGAAAATAATTTAAGTAAAACCACAGTTCTAACTCCTCAAAGGCAAATCTGTTCCTGATACAGGTATGCTGTTTTTTCTAGTCGCTGACCTCAAATTCATGAGCTTAAGATGGGCACTGATATTCTCTCCTCTTCTTTCTATTGTACAAATGGATTGTAACCAATGGAAAAATGTAGACTTTTGAAACGATTACAACTTTCACTCAACAAGTACTAAAACCTGAAAGACAATTTCACTCAACATTTTTTAAACCAATGGCCCACACCCACATTAGAGCTAACACTTAATGTCATACCCTGAAGCACAGGCAGGGTAGCAGGAGGTCAGGATCTTAAGAAAACTGCATGGCATCAGTATTACGGACATCCCACTCCTTCTGCTCATCTGGGTGGTGAGGAACCTTCAGATCATATATGTGGTAGCCAACAGGTTCTTTCATCACCTATTGACAAGGCAAGTTGGCAGGAGATAACCCTTACAGACAGCAGGGCCTCCTGCAGGCCTCCTACTCTCCTTTAGCGAGTTACTGTGAAAACAGAAAACCCAGGAAGAGGCCTGGGACAACCCGAGTACGAGTAGCCCCAATGTTCTCACCTTTCCCAACAAAATGACTTCATAAAGATACCACAAAAAGGAACAGTGGGACAAGAAAGGTGAGCGTGCCTCACATGGTGCACTAAAGTACCTGCAATTCATTTCCATGAGAGTGGTTTCCCATGCAATGGAAAAAAAAAAAAAAGAAGGGCTCATCAAATGTTATTTGATGACATCACTTATTTGTGGGAAATTTAAAGTCAGAATGCATTATACATGTATCCTATCCCCAAAGCACAGAGCTAATGTATAAAGTTTCATGTAATAAATGCTTCATTCCCATGAAGCATGCTCTGAATACACAGACACTTATTTAATCAAACCTACAACTGTAAGTGCAGCTGTGCGAATGGGGCTGGTTTCAGTGCATCGATACCACGTCTGCTGTCTCTATGGTTACTAATACCTATGTTCCAAGTCAGCTTTTCACAGACAGAAATGACAGTTTGAGGCTTCAGGAAATGTGGAAAGGGACTCCTAGTCTTAGCCAATGGGGAAGTTTTGAAGGTAGAAGTTTCCAAACTTATGAACTGAACTAATTTAAAATTGTTGAAAAAGTACTTCTATAACATGCACAAGCTGAGTAAATTTTTCCTCTACTTCTCTTCAACTTTTTTCTAAGCTTCTTCAGCAAAAGACTATGAATAAATGTGCCCCACCTTCTTTCAGGTACTAGTGCAATTTCAGCTGAAATTTAATATCCATATTAGACTGAAGATTTAATAACTGAGCTTTGCCTTAGTTCAACACATTGTCTCTTTTACTTATTTTCTCCAACTCTTTACCACTTCCCACACGTTTGCTTTTTGCTATTTATCTCCTCTAGGAGCTTTGGTGGCACAGTGGTTAAGTATTTGGCTACTAACTAAAAAGTTGATGGTTTGAAACCACCAGATGCTCTGCAGGACAAAGAAGAGGCAGTCTGTTTCTGTAAAGATTTGCAGCCTTGGAAACCATATGGGGCAGTTCTACTGTATCCTACAGGGTTGCTATGAGTTGGAGTCAACTCGACGGCAGTGGGTTTTGGTTCACCTCTTCTGTTCTCACTTTTTATCATCTAAAGGCTGAGTTTGAAGGACAATTTTCTCCATTTATTTTAAGCTCTTCACATATGTATATGGGCTCAGTTATGAAAATGATGGTCTCTTATTACTGTGCTCAGGACTGACTATATAATTTGTGAGGCTCAGTACAAAATAAAAATGCAGAGTACCTGTTCAAAAAGTATTAAAAATTTCAAGATGGCAACAAGAGACCAATAAACCAAGTGAGGGCTCATTTGAGTGCAGGCCTGGTACAGCTGTACTGGTCATCCTCTATGAAGCCAACCCTGACTGTTCTTCTAGGCATATGTTTTTATTCCTATTCTGTGTCTTCACCTATGTCCTAGACACCTTTACTTTTACTTCTGTCACCATGAAAACAGAAACACTGACTCGGCCAAACTCAATCTGCCAGACTCAATCACAGTATGTCTAAAACTACTGGATTTTCTTTCTTTCATTTTTGTTATTACCAGCCTATATTAACACTTATATTTCAATTCCTTCAACAGTCTTTGTGTTGGCTTGTTTCCAGTATCTTATGTTGCAAATTTTATTAGACACAGAACAACTTTCCTCAATATATTCCACATACTAGGCACATTAGCAACACAGTCACTGCTTTAGGAAAATGGTAGGGTGGGGTCCACATAATAGCAAATGTGTCAGAATCGTATGGGTCTTCTGTGCTATTAAATTTAATAGTGCAAATGTGCTGTCTATATATACCTATGACATGCAAATGGCTATCCAAAAGCATTGGGTTGTATAGTACTTTCAGAAGCACAGATAATAATGACTCAGTGGATCTGTTAAAAAAAAGTATTTGCAATATTACAGAAAACACAATGTATCCTGAGACTGACAAGTACAACTCAGAGTCAATTCTCTAGGCATACAAACCACTCACATACTCAATTTTTCTCCAATTAATATCTAGGTTTGCTCACATATCCCTGATAATATTGTTGAACACACTGTGGCTCTTTACTATAAATAGTGCCTGTAAATAATGAAATTACTCTTCTAAGGCTAGCAGATATTGACATGATTTTATTGTCTTTTATACATGGTCTTGATTAACAAAGTGAAGATTTATATTTGGTAGGAAGAAGGAATCAAGAACTGAATATAATTTCTCCTTTTTCAGCATCCATTGTTGGCTAAATCTTCTCTAATTAATGAAATAATACATCCTCCTGGGAAGATATACACAGGAGAAATTCTATTCTCAAAGGATGTTTTCTTCTAATGTTGTTCTTGTTGTTAAGGATCGTCAAGTCATCTCCGACTGATAGTGACCCCATGCACAGCAGAACGAAACAGTGCTGGGTCCCGCCCCAGCTCCACAATCCTTGGTATACTTGAGCCCATTGCTGCAGCCACTGTGTCAATCCATCTCGTTGAGAGCCTTCCCATCTTTCATTGACCCTCCACCTTACCAAGCATGACATCCTTCTCCAGAGAATGGTCCTTTCTGACAACATGACCAACACAGGTGAGATGAAGTCTGGCCATTCTTGCTTCCAAGGAATATTCTGGCTGCACTTCCTCCAGGACAGATTTGTTAGTTCTTTTAGCATTCCATGGTACTCTAAGCATTCTTTGCCAGCACCACAACTCAAAAGAATCAATTCTTCTTCAGTTTTCCTTATTCATTGTCGAGGTCTCACATGCATATGAGGTGACTAAAAATATCATGGCTTGTGTCAGGCACACCTTAGTCCTCAAGGAGACAACTTTGCTCCTCAGGACTTGAAAGAGGTCCTTTGCAGCCAACTTGCCCAGTGCTATACATTCTGATGTTCTGACTGCTGCTTCCATTGCCAACAACTGGAGAATCAAGTAATGTGAAGTCTTTGACAACTTCAATCTTTTCTCCATTTATTGTGATATTGCTTATTGGTCCAGTTGTGAGGATTTTTGTTTTCTTTATATTAAGATGTAATCTATACTGCAGACTGTACTCTTCAATATTCATCAGTAAGTGCTTCAAGTCACTCTCACTTTCAGCAAGCAAAATTGTGCCATCAGCATATCGCAGGTTGTTAATGATTCTTGATGCCAATCCTGATGCCATGTTCTCTTCATATAGTCCAGCTTCTCGGATTATTTGCTCAGCATATAAATTGAATAATTATGGTGAAAGGATACAATCCTGCCACACTCCCTTCTTGATTTTAAAACATGCAATATCCTCTTGTTCTGTTCAAACGACAGCCTCCTGGTCTATGTGTAAGTTCCTCATGAGTACAATTAAGTGTTCTGGAATTCTCATTCTTCTCAATGTTATCCACAATTTGTTATGATCCACACAATCAAATACTTCTGCATAGTCAATAAAACACAAGTAAACATCTTTCTGGTATTCTCTGCTTTGAGCCAAGATCCATCTGCCATCAGCAATGATATCCCTAGTTCCATGTCCTCTTCTGAATCCAGCTTGCGCCTCTGGAAGTTGTCTGTCAATATACTGCTGCCACCATTTTTTATCTTCAGTAAGATTTTACTTGCGTGCATTATTAATGATATTGTTCAATAATTTCCACATTCTGTGAGATCACCATTCTTTAGATTGGATACAAATATGGATGTCTTTCAGTCAATTGGCCAGGTAGCTGTCTTCCAAATCTCTGAGCATAACCAAGTGAGTGCCTCCAGTGGGGCAACTGTTTCTTGAAACTTCTCAATGGGTATTCTGTCAATTCCTGGACCCTTGTTCTTCATGAATTCCTTCAGTGCAGCTTCGACTTCTTCCTTCAATACCATTGGTTCTTGATCATATGCCACCTCCTGAAATGGATGATGATCAGTTCTTTTTGGTACAGTGATTCTGTGTATTCCTTCCATCTTCTTTTGATGTTTTCTGCAACAAACATATCATAGATAAACTTAGAGGACATTATGATGCATCATTCAATATTTTGCCCATAGAATCTTTCAATATTGCAACTCGAGGCTTTAATTTTTTCTTAGTTCTTTCAGCTTGAGAAATTCCAAGCATGTTCTTCCCTTTTGTTTTTCTAACTCCAGGTCTTTGCACATTTCATTATAATATTTGCCTTTGTCTGCTCAAGCTACTCTTTGAAATCTTCTGTTCAGCTCTTTTATCTTGTCATTTATTCCATT